ATAATTTTTGGTCTATGCCTATAGAGCTTAAATATACTGATGTAAACCGTGATCAGAAATTAATTTCTAAGGAAATTTAAAAGCTTAATAGCTAGGACGAATCCACTACAAAAGACGAATGGAAAATACCGCAGTAATGACTACTTGCTATTTCAGCGATTTAAGACGAACCTCCATGTACTCCTTGACTCGCTCGATAGCCACGCCACTGCTCTCCATTTGAGCACTCATTTTCAATAGCCAGGACAGGACGTCTGGGACGGCGAGAACGTAGGAGATAAGGAACCCGGCCATGCCCGGCGGCATTTCTCCGCGCATGGCTACCGTAAGGACGGCCGTAAATGTCAGGAACAGACAGTGTATCATCTGTGGAGGTGAAGTAAAATACAAGAAAACCACAGGGCGCTTACACTATTTACTCTCAAACTCTTAGAATATTGAACGATATTTTGAAATGCTTTGTAAACAAAAAACATATTTTGCAATGCGGACAACTAAGCAACACAACTGCGGGCTAAGTTTTGTACCGTGTATAAGATTCCTATATGCACTACTTATATTTTTTAAGTTAGTTCGACAAACAAACTGCAAGTCCTACCTAACAGACTCCTTTTCCATCACCCTTTTATCGGAGACAGGGTGGGCTCTGTATGCCTTTTCTTTGAATGATTCCTATACGAATTGCGTTCTGAATGCCTAATTTAGTAGTTCCAGATTGGATTACTAATACTAACTACTCATAAAATAATGGGAGAGTAGAATCTGCATTCCTGGCTTGTTCGTCGTCTTCAGACAGCCATACTCCATCCTATGTGGTGCTTCTCTTAAAACTTAAGCGGGTAGGTGGCTGAGCCATGGTTGTGCCTAGATCACTACAATCATCAGATCGAATCCACAGGTTGAAGGTGAAAGGCAAGCGTCACCAGAATGAGGGGTTTATTGTATACAGAACTCCCAGTTGCTGTCTCATGTGGCAATGGCCACTGGCGAACCCAGGGCTGGTGCTGACTGCGTCCAGCTAGGCCTGAGAGAGTTGACTTTGTGTTGTGTGGGGTTATGACAGTTGCTCTTTACGTGATTGTGAAGCGAGTTCAAGGGTTCTGTCATTGGTGTGTTGCAATTGCTCCAGCGGATGTCGGCCGACGGGTGTCTTAGTTCAGTGGCCCTTAGGCAGGCACGCTTATTTGGACGGACGTGTACACGCGGGGGTGTGCGCATGTACGTGCGTACGTGAATTAGTTGAGATCAACTGTCGGGACCGCAGGAACGCCGAAGGACGGGGGACGCTGACGCAGCTGTTATCGGTTTGCTAGTAGCAGCTGCGAGGTCATGTCTCAAGGAGCAGGGACGCCAGTGAAGGAAAGCATTGGAACAGTTGTTTGTGACGACATGACTTTGGGGCAGCGAGCCTTGGAGAACGAAAAGGGGGACGTGGGCGTCCATCACAAGCCCACTACTGTTGATAAGATTTCCAACGCTCTTACCACTGCTCCACGGGCTCGTTGACTCGCCAGTTTCGATTGGCAGATTGAAAGTGGGCGATCGGCAATCACCGATCGGTAAGGGGACCTCTTCGTCCTGCTATGCCTTGAAGTTCACGCTTGAGCCCTGTCAGCAAGCGCAACGGGCGAGTGATTACCCTAGCCGAATATTGAGCGTCTGTGTACAATCTGCATAATTAATAAAAGTGTCGACAGCCTCTGTGTGGACCTCCATTATCATTGGTCCCAGGGGTCAGATTAAAATGCGTTCTGCGCCTTCTGCACGCGGGAATGCGCGCCTGTCTCTAT